TGCCGCCTATCTGGAGCCTCAAGAACGTAGTTGTGATTGTTTCTGCACTCCTTGATGCGGTAAGGTCCTGAAAACTTGTTTTGCAATGGAGAACCTGGGATAGGAAAATATGCCAACACGAAGTCTCCTGGTTTAAATTTCCTTAGTTTGCTGCGTTGGTCAAAATGAGTCTTCATCCTCTCCTGAGCTTTCAATAGATTGTCATTAGCAAATTTACGTACTTTCTCTAGAATGTGTTTTAAGTTTTGAAGAAACTGGGGCACATTCTGAGGGTCACTGGCATTACATAGAGAGTCTTTGAAAGACTCTCAGAAAGAAGAGAGTCTTTGAGAGTCTTTGCATCTCATAAGGAGATACTCCTAGAGACTCATTGGGGAGACTTATGAAAATGCACATAATGAGGTCAAGTTGTTTATCCCAGACCTTCAAGGGTTCATTACAAAATTTCTTTAGGAGTGCTTTAATAGTCTGATGACTACGTTCAAGAGAACCCTGTGAAGCAGGATGATAGGGCTGGACAGTACCTGTGTGGTGTTGAACTCTTCCAGTGTCTTCTTGAAGAGATCACTGGTGAAGTTGGTGCCACAGTCACTTTGAACCTCTCTTGGAAATCCATACTGGGTGAAGATCTTCATTAGTTGTTTCACCACAGTAGCAGCCGTAATGTTCTTTACTGGAACTGCTATGGGGAATCTGGTGGTAGGACACAGGATAGTTAGTATATAGTCGTTGCCAGAACTGGTCCGGGCAAAAAGGACCAACACAGTCTATGATGAGTCTGTGGAAAGGTTCCGCAGGCACCTGGATAGGAGTCAATGGGGCCTGGGGAATAGAGATGTTAGGTTTACCTGCCATCTGACATGTATGACACTGTTGCACGTAACTTTTGACGTCTTTAACCATACCTGGCCAATAGTAGTCTTGTCTGATTCCGTGGTAGGTTTTGTTAAAACCATAGTGAGAAAGAGCTCCGTGGGTCAGGTGTAGAATGTCGGGCCGTAGGCTGGTGGGAACCACTAGTTGTTCGACATTTGCCATATCGTCGTCCTCCTGTAGCTTACTGGGTCTGTACCTGCGGTAGAGCAACTGATTCTCTAGGAAGAACCCAGGGATACTGTCAGGTTGAGTCTCAGCCTGGAAGAAAAATTGTGTTAATGATAGATCTTCCCTTTGTAACTTACGGAACTCCAAACTAGTAAGATTAGGTGGTAGATTCTGAGGGTCTTGAGGGACAGTGGTGGCAGTAGAATCAGCTGGTTGCGGGCGTGCAACTTGTGCATGGGTGGTCACCAAAACCGGAGGAGAAACTTCATCACTTTCTTGGACCTCTGCTGAAACATACTTAAAGATGGGATTGTCCACTACAGAGTTACACACCTGGGGTTTATCCATGATGATCAGGTTGGACGGTTGCAGATCTTCTGCCAAGTCGTTGCCCAGGAGAAGTTGTACTCCAGACATGGGAAAAAGCTATTCCCTGATGGCGACTTGGACTTCACCGGTCACAAAAGGACAATCCAGGTGGAATCTGGCGAGTGGATACGGAGTGGTAGCAGTGAGGTCAGTGATAAGGACAATTTCCCAGGTGTAGGTGATGTCAGGCACAGCTGATTTCAATATTATGGATTGAAGAGCCGCTGTGTCCCTCAAGATCTTCAATTTGAAAGTTCCCTCCGAATCTGTACCGTTGGCAGAGACAGTTCCAGGATACAGGTTTTTGCTGAAGAGAGAAAGATCATTAACAGGAACACCAACATTCATCACAGGCTTACCGGAGTTAGGAGGAGTCGGTTTGGGTTTAGGAGTTTCATTGCCTTTGTATTGGGCCTTCCCACATCTATCTATGGTATGTCCATAGAGTTTGCAATACTTACAATACAATTGAGAGCTTGCTTGATCGGCACTCACTTTATCGTAACTGTACCAAGACTTCTTACTGGGAGGTGGTGTTAGCCGGTGGATGAGGCTGTAGGTGTCAGCTGACTTCGCACATTTGATGTAGTCGGTTTCTTCTTTATCTGCTAAATATAAATGGACGGAAGGGGGAACACGTCTCAAGAATTCCTCAACTAGCATGACGTTGACGAGTTCTAAAAATGTAGAGACATGTGCTGCTTCCAGCCATTTCATGAAATATCTTTTCTTTGTATTGGCAATTTCTAGAAAGGTGGTGGTACTTGCCTTTAGATAGTCACGGAATTTTCGTCTGTAGCTTTCGGTGGAGAGAAGGTAGGCGTCCAAAACTGCTTGCTTCAGGGTCTGGTAGTCATTATCAGACACTAAGGTACTGAGAGTAACCGCAGCTGTGAGATGCACTCTGAAAAGGGTAGACCATTGATCTGCAGGCCAGCTAAGGTTTTTAGCTAGGGTCTCAAAAGTGGTGAAAAAGACATCAATCTCTGTCTCAACGAATGGTCGCATTAACTTACTTACATGGGAGACATTGAAACTTACGGGAAGACTAGCTGTAGCTTGTTGGCGCTGAGTGTGGTGTGTAGTTTCCAAGGCGAGTTCTTGTCGCCGGTATTCGAGAGCACTGTCAGCTTGCTGTTTATTGTACTCCCGTTGGATTTCCAGGTCACGTTGTTTTGCTTCAAGCTTTACTCTCTCACGCTCTCTGAATAGGGCCAGCTCACGTTCCTTTAGGGCCACCTCGCATTCTTGTTGTTCTTTCTTTATGGCAGCCTCATGTTCTTGTTCTTCTTTCCTGATTGCAGCTTCTTCTTTCCTCATTTGTAGAGCTGCTTTTTGTTGTTGATGGACTTCTTTTTGTTGCTCTCGCTCGAGCTTTGCAAGTTCGAGCTTGAGTTTCATAGTTGTCAGAGCATGTTTATCTGCAATAGAGTAATTTTCGTGAGTTTCAGAATCAATCTTCCCTTCGTCTAAGAGGTGATCCATTATTAAATTGTGCAATTCACTTTTGTTGGCTCCATGGGGAACATCTAGTTGATACTCGTATGCAAGAGTTTGTAATTCGATCTTTTTGGCACGACATAAGTTCCCTATTTCACCTGCTGGATCGTTACGAAAAGCTTGGAGACGAAACACGGGGAAAAATAGCAAATAAATGTACAAAGAATACTTGTGATATGGTAAGTGTCAGTAACAGGATAACGTGGCAACTGGTAACTATCCCGTGGAATTTTATATTTAACAATTAATGTTAATTTTAGAATAGCAAATGATTAGTCAATCAAAATCGCAGGAAATCTTGTACCCGGTACTCAATGTAAGAGAATAAGGGCAAGAAAATCCTACTAAATAAATGAAACTGAGTTTCTAAAACAAATGAAACATTTAATTGTTCCAAAAGTGAATAAGGTAGTCCAAGAATGTAGGCATACCTTGCCGAGACTCTATAGGACAGAAGCAAGGGTTTTCCAACTAATGAAATATGATACTTACAGAATTAGCGAACTTTGTGCTCTGAAAAAAGAAAGCTAATTCCCTACCTAAGTAAATATCATCATCTCTGACCGACGTGTAGGGGTGCGAGTGTCAACTGGTGACGAGAACTGCTGCTGAGGTCCCAACTCAGCAACTTAGTCCGTGCTAGAGGAACTATGGCCCTCTTTATCCTACTTCGGTCGGATTGCAGAAGATAGGGTGCTTTGACCCGAAGACAAACCAAAGTACCAGGGTACCCAAAATGATGATCTGTCTGAGATTGAGAAATATCCTAGGGACAAAAGGTGGAAAACACGAGTAATAACACAGAGGGAGGGATGACCAATTAAGAGAATGACTGAGGCCCCCAGTCACCACGTAATCCAACGTTATCCAACACTCACAATATGCTACTCTCGGAATGCACAATACACACAGCACCATATAAATATTAAAAATAATGAAAATATTGAAAAGCAACTGTATCAAAGCCAAGTACGCTTACCACAAATTGACGTTCTGGTACTAGTACCTGAGTGAAGCTCCTAGGACAGGCCCCCATTAAATATGACGGGAAAGTGTAGGAGTGTAGATGTTCGGCAGTCCTCCAATGGCAGGAGTCAATGCCTAGTCACACTTACAAAAAAAAAGATAAGACTGCTTGCCTGTTTATCTGTGGTAAAGTAAGGGAAGACACGCAAAACACATAGTATGAACAATGAAACTTTAATTAATATAGAAAACAAATTATAAACAAATACAATCCCTTGGCAATGTACAGTGCAAACAAACAAGTCAAAAAAATATAACATAAATGAATAATAGGGATGAAGTTACTCTACAATAATATAAATACACAGTGAAAAATAATCAGGTGCTCAGAATATGGAGCTAGCTGAGAAACATCCCACCTGATACACAGCGTATATCAGTTAGTTGTTCACTGCTTGAGAGCACAAGGATATTCTGACTTCAATGGGAGAATGAGAGAGAGAATGAGAGAGAGAATGAGAGAGAGAATGAGAGAGAGAGAGAGAGAGAGAGAGAGAGAATGAGAGAGAGAGAAAGAGAGAGAGAGAGAGAGAGAGAGAGAGAGAGAGAGAGAGAGAGAGAGAGAGAGAGAGAGAGAGAGAGAGAGAGAGAGAGAGAGAGAGAGAGAGAGAGAGAGAGAGAGAGAGAGAGAGAGAGAGAGAGATAACGAGAGAGAGAGAGCAAGAGAGAGAGAGAGAGAACAAGAGAGAGAGAGAGAGAGAGAGAGAGAGAGAGAGAGAGAGAGAGAGAGAGAGAGAGAGAGAGAGAGAGAGAGAGAGAGCGAGAGAGAGAGAGAGAGAACAAGAGAGAGAGAGAGAGAGAGAGAGAGAGAGAGAGAGAGAGAGAGAGAGAGAGAGAGAGAGAGAGAGAGAGAGAGAGAGAGAGAGAGAGAGAGAGAGAGAGAGAGAGAGAGAGAGAGAGAGAGAGAGAGAGAGAGAGAGAGAGAGAGAGAGAGAGAGAGAGAGAGAGAGAGAGAGAGAGAGAGAGAGAGAGAGAGAGAGAGAGAGAGAGAGAGAGAGAGAGAGAGAGAGAGAGAGAGAGAGAGAGAGAGAGAGAGAGAGAGAGAGAGAGAGAGAGAGAGAGAGGATTTTCCTGGTTGTTACAATACATACATACATGTGTGCATGCATATATACATAATATACAAGGACACTGGAGGATTCCTAAGTAAAACAAGAACAATGACTAAAGTCACCAAAACAATAATGCAACCAAATCACCTGTCCAAAATAATAATTCATCATTATTTCAACACTGGAGAAACAGAAGTGTCAAGTGGTTTCACAGAAAGCTCTGGTAATGAGACGGTCAAGTGGTATTACATTGCCATCCACAGTCTTCTTGAGGCCTCCCATCTTCTCTATTGTTTCTATGGCATAGTACCCGAGGATGCCCAACACGAGAAGGATGATGAAAATGATCACCTTGGAATTGAGGCAGAGGACACTGCTACTGGCATAGGAGGCACTATAGCCAAAACACATCCATAGGACGGAGTTGGTGAAGGCCTCATCCATCTGCTTAGGGAAGACCACGGCATACAGCACTGAGGGTGGAAGTTAGGACAAATGTTTACTCACAAGCTGTGACAGATAAAACAATAGGTTGAAGAATTCATCCCTATCCTTTTTTGTATTGTACTGCAAATGTTATTTTTTACTGACAAAAATGATTATGAAGAAAAGTTATAAACAGATGTCCTTTGGTCATACCAGTAACCTGCGTCTGCCAGATAGCATCAGACAATCCCCAGATGCCACCTATGATGAAGAACCAAATCATGTCGTCGGGTTGTGGTACCCAGAAGATCATGACGAGGATGAGGCCCAAGTTGATGAGGAACCCCAAGGTGAATACTGTCACTAGACCCAACACCTTCACTAGGAGGCTCATCCCCAACGCGCACACAGCCGAACTTGCACCAAAACATACTATGATGTAACCCACCATATGCACACCCAACACGCACGAGATGTACGCCTGAAATATAATGACAGCGTTTAATGAGTAGGTCACAATAAGGACAGAGTAAAGACACCACCAACGGAAACCTCTAAGTCTGTTCAGAATATGCTCAAGTAAAGGTTTCAGTAAGTAAATGGGGGTCAATGTCATGCTTGGAGATTGGCAAAAATGTTCTAAGGATGGTTAGACACTACCTGAACTGACGTATCCCTTCATTGCCCTCACAAGTTTGCAGTATTGCTATTTTTTCCTTTAAGGGTCCAATGTGATCACACAAACCTCTCCAAGCAGCCATTTGACCATAACACGCATTATACATAACCCAAAATATATGCAATTAGTAGCTATATAATTTATTGGAAAATGTCCACATCTCTACAGCCCACCCTAACATCCCCTAGCACAGGCAGCTAAAGTGCTATAAATAAGTGCTAAGATTAGTTTCTGTCCTAGTAACAACCCAAATCCAAAAATATCTGAAGTTTTCCATGAAGCAACGCTGCCGATTTATCATTGGTAGGAAACAAACAATTTTATTTATAAGAATATCACTATTTATATCTTTAATAGAGAATGTATGTTGTCTGCCCAAAGATACCGGCCAAATGCTTGGGGGCTAACTTCACTGAACTTTGCAAGGAGAATAGCCTGATTATGGGACGGACATAAGCTGGTCGCGGTCAGCCAAAATTAAATGCTTTAATATATATTAGCATTTATAGAAACCCTCCATACGATTTCCATTTAATAAAGTGCAAAATATATGGTGTGTTTCCAACAGAGGGAAGGTTGCTGTAGCTCACCAAAGCACATGCCTTGCTGAGCCACAGCAATGCGTGGCCAATATATATATATATATATATATATATATATATATATATATATATATATATATATATATATATATATACATATATGCAAACAAGCCTGAATGGTCCCCAGGACAATATGCGACTGAAAACTCAAACCCCAGAAGTAACTCGAACCCATACTCCCAGGAGCAACGCAACTGGGAGTATGGGTTCCACATACGCATATGGGTAACACATTAATGCACAACTATATTCTACCCACCTCAAGACTCCGCTCCAATATAGAAGCATCAAGAAATATGGACCAATAGGCTTTCTACAAACACTTCTATTCAATACCCATTGTTTCGTGTTCTGTCTTGTGTTGATGAAATTAATACCCTATTAATGCCACCTCTTGTTCTGTCTTGTGTTGATGAAATTAATACCCTATTAATGCCACCTCTTGTTCTCTCTTGTGTTGATGAAATTAATACCCTATTAATGCCACCTCACCCCATCCACCTCACTCAAATGTAGATATAAAATCGGAGATGCTTAAGTTCTATTCAGTTGTGTATTTGTAAACTAAAGTCTTTGAAAATGTAATAAGTTTTACGAAACGCGCTCGTGTCGCGTCAGACTAGAAATAAAAATGAATTTTGGAGAATTGATTTTTGATTTACCTCCAACAGTGAAAAGAAATGTACGAAAGATTAAGAAAATTCGTGTTAGAATTATTAATCTTACTTTTTCGGTCATATTTAATAATATATGTCTACAGGAAAGACGGCTACCAATATATATATATATATATATATATATATATATATATATATACATTGGCTACGAGTTGCTGTGGCTCAGCAAGGCATGTGCGTTGCTGAGCTACAGCAACCTTCCCTATATTGGAAAAAACACCATATATTTTACACTTAATTAAATGGAAATCATATGGAGGGTTTCTATAAATGCTAATATATGTTAAAGCATTTAATTTTGGCTGACCGCGACCAGCTTATGTCCGTCCCATAATCAGGCCATTCTCCTGACACACATAATAACATAAGTTACACATTAAAGATAAACAGAACGGGTATTCTGTGACGTCATCCAACAAGACATATTTATATATCTCATCTCTTTTTAAACCTTATTCTAGTATTTAAACTTAATAAAAAAGTGTTCACTAGGACTGAATATAATTTCCAACACCAGGAATATAGCTTTAACTCTCTATTCCATAATCATAAATAGAACCACCAAATATTTTAGGACGTCTCCCCTAGAGGTGTAGTCACGTACACCACAGACAGAATCATAACAAAACAACACGCTGCAGAGGTGGCTCTTTCCATACAAGCTGGTATAACTCGATAGACACCCAGATTACGTGTCAACAAGCGAGCAACAACCACAACAGCACATCTACAACCACAGGAACCTCAGTATCCATCATACGAAGTATTTTTGCGTATATTGTGGCCATTTTATAACATAAATTTGTTAGATGGTTATACTGTGGAATTAAAATCCCTAACACATACGTAATCTACCTTATACATCCCTCTTATTACAAATCATACCTGTACCTTAAAAAGTTGGTGTGCTTTTAATAAGGTTAAACATCCCAACTGGTAGTTGTGAGGGAAATTACTGAAGGAGACAGTTGGCCCTCAATATAAGTGTTTCATTCTGCTGTACATCAAGCCTTTCAGGCTTCAAGATAGCCGCCATTACCTGGCACTCTGAGGCACAGGGCCACACCCTAATCTGATGCTTCCATTACACAGCCTTAGCAGGCCCCATCTACAGTATCAGCTAAGGCTCCTCTTTTGTTTAATACTGTAGATAGAGTAGTATACAGAATTAAATTAAATATAAGAACAGTACATTGGACCACCATAGGTGGTATGACTTATTTTTTATATTTGTAATAATAAGGTAAACAAATTCTGCTTGTACCATTTTCATACGGCAGTGCAAGTTGCATTTGTCCCTCCCATTGTGTGAGATAAGTTCTAGCAAGCAGAATTAGAATATATACAGTCCACTAACTAAGAACTAAGAACTAGCATAGAAGAAAAATAATATAATATTAAATGCAACTGAAAAATAAATTAAAGTAAACATTTAATATTTCATTTAAAGGAAATAAATTAAAAACTGCTAGGATTTTCCCACATAAATTATGATCCTTCGAACCGGATTAGCAGGAAGACACTGCTCTACAATTTTCTTGCCTAACTTTTTCAATCTCTGCTAACAAGTGAACAGAACTTACAACAAGCACTATTATTGTTGGTAGGCCTAAACCAAAAGAATAATTGTGCTTTATCATTACAAGAGGTTTATATGAGGCTAATTAATTTACTCATATATGTATATTTAATTTTAAGTGTTTATATAAACATTACATAATATTTAATATTGCACCATTCCTGTAACAATTACTACATGTCACATTATTTACAACCAGTTCTTGCACAAGGGTAGGACATTTTAGGCTGGTGTTGTACAGCAATCTAGTCTAATTTATTGTGATAACATGGTGTAAGGGTAAGAATTTACACTTGTCTAGAGTTGAACCTATATTACAACCTAGCAAGCACATATTTTATGCAGTTACTCAAGGCAACCTGAGTTGTGTTGTCTACATAATATTACCATAACTATAGTGTTGGGAAGAAAGCTTACTCTCTATTAATTGATTGATATTTAATTATTAGATTAATTTAAATAAATCGAAGGACCACCCTATTTTGACTGAAAAGGGAAACAGATAAAGTTGAACGATGAAGACTGAAATACCAGTGCCTATGGATAAGAAACTATTAAAGATTATTCTTTAAACGTTAATGGGCTGTATAATATTAATGTTCGAGAATAAACTTTCCGTCCTTCACAAAATTGGGGGTTAATACTAGAAGTAATCTACTCCCAGTACGCTTCATCGAGGCTGGTTCTTTCTCGAATAAAAATTAGTAATTCTACTAAATACTATTAAGAAACATTAGATGAATTGATTAATGGTAAAAAGATTATATGTTGATTAATCAAGCAATTATTCTCATTTGACTTTTATGAGGCTAACATATTACGTTAGATATCTCAAATCAAATAAACTAAATCTCTTCGACTGATCTATAATTTTCTCAATTAAAGAAATAATAGAAAAGATTTCAGCTGCTTAGCTGTAATAGTGAACGGAGAAGTAGAGGTGCAATGGCGTCGTCTGCTACTTGCGGCAACACGTGAGTTCAAGCATGGCGTGGGAACATGATGACCATGACCGCTTACAACACAAGCTGAAATTTCAACTATATATACTAATTGGTTACACCTACTATATAATATCCTCACTATGCCATAAAAGGAATAAATTTAATTCCTTATGGACGTACTTATTGTTTGGGGAGGTCGCGTAGCATAACGATGGACAGTGCACAGTAAAATGATATACCTAGAGATCTCACGATATAGCAAATATTAGAGCACTTAACCTGCTGGTTGTCCACTGAAGCAATTCCAGATTGCTACTGGAGCAATTGCACGCTCCTAAGCCGATTAAATGCAAGGGCCTAACGTAGTATTGATGGAAATCGACTCTCCCGGGACGCACGATGTGATTGTTGGCGTCTCTCGCTCGTGGCCCAAGCAGGAATAATGGCGGCGCCTCTCCGCCCTCCCTCAACTCGTCTCCCGCATTCACAACAGAAATTACTAATCATGGATAATTCTTTTCCATGTAATTACTGATGTAATGCGTTAATGAGAACCGGGTTGCAATTATAGGGAATTAAATAATATCATATTCTCGTCAAATGGTGTTAATCGAGAAATGGAGAGAAATTTTATTTCCTCCATAGCATTCGTACGTAAGAGATGAAACTGCCACTTGATAATAATTTCAGTCAATAACTCTCGGTTTTGGATTATTGGGAGCTATATTATCCATAGTTAATTATTGTACGGAATACTGATAATTTTAGAGAACCACATTCAATTCTCTAACATATTGGTAATAAATATGTTTAAATGTACATTATCTGACGCAATCCTGCCTCTCGATGTCGTGAGAATATTAGCAATAGGCTCAGATAAAGAAATATTAATTTATATTAACACTACCGTTAGTGAAATTAATAACTACTGTAATTAGTATATAATAATGATGTATTATAATACAATGGTAGTGTGTTAGTGTTGGAAATTTCCAACATA